ATAGTATAGTATATATATATATATATATATATATATATATATATATATATATATATATATATATATATATATATATATATATATATATATATATATATATCATCCGGTTATAAATGATGATCATATGTTATTTATTTTATTAAATCATTTAGTCATGATAGATTAACATGATTTGGTAAAAACATCAATGCATACTATTAAAAAATTAGTTTTTTTCAGGTGAATAAATGAGATATCTGTGCTATAAAATATAATTTTTCTATCTATTTCATACAAATTAAGTCACTGAAAAATTTGAAAATAGATTCTACAAGAAAATATTGAGAATATGCATTGAACATTTTTTTTCAAATGAAAATACTTATGTTTCTTTTTTACTTCATAATTAAGCTTCATTATATAACTGATAGTTTATAAATAAATTTCAATATTATAAATGTTACAGAGAGAGTTACCTATAGATATCATTAAGATGACCTAAAATCTACTACAAATTAAAAGTTCACATAATTTTGTATGTAAGTTTAAAAATTTTAACCTATATTTACTGATAATATAAAAATATTTATAGTATTTGTGTGTTTAATCTATTATGATAAGTAACCTGTTTTATTTTTAAGTATTAATTAATTTCACTTATTCTATTATGAATAGTTACTCTTAATTATTTTCTAATGACAACTATGTAAGGTTTTAGTTAACGAATTTGTCTTTAGCCTATTAAATTATTGATATGTAATCATTGATGTTATAAATAATAATGAGTTCTTTTAATTATTAATTGAACAAATAGTATAATTTTTTTGGGTAGCTAGGTAGTATAAAATAATGTATGGTTGAATATATTTTTAAAAAAGGCAAAATGCTCACATCAACATAATATAAAATGGTACTATTATAAAAATTATAAAAACATATATATGTACTAAATTGAGTTGTGAAATTTAATTGGTGAACTTTGCCATAATGGATAATATTTTTTTTTATATTTATTGGACAAATTAATTAAAATAGCACGAGTGAAAAATCTACATAAAATAAACCTAGTTGTTTTTCTTTAAGTTGTTAGATTTTCAATATAAATAGTGTTCCATTAATTTGGGACCTCCCATGTGGCATTTGTTACTATGTTCAAATCATATATTTAGTGTGTATATTAGCCACATAATATAAGTATTTACATGTCTAGTGAAACAACAATTAATGTTTGGTCAAATAATGAAAATAAATTGATCATTATTTTCCTTTATCGGATTTTGATAAATATCTTACTCTCTTCGTGATCCTGTCTCATTTTATATGTCATATTTTTTACTTTGTATTTGCTTTAAAAAATAATGTAATCTTACTCTTTCTTGTTTAAATTTTTTGGAGTTCAAGTTTTCAATCAATGATATGAATTAATTTATTCTGATCACTTAATTTAACCAATAAACATGAATCATTTACTTAGCTTTTCTAAATTAGCCAAATATAAATTTTTTAAACTAATAACTTACTAGGGTAAAAATGAACAACATGATAATATATGCGTCAATTTTATAAAATGACAAATATTATAGAATAATTATTTATATAAAAAGATAACGCATAAAATGGGACTGACAGAATCTTGGTTAACAAATAAGTAACATAAAAAGGCATCAATCTTGACTTTGACTTTAATTAAGTTTTTCCAATGTGGCATTAATTATCCACACGTTTACTAGCCTTCAAAATTGCCAGCAGATTTGTGAAATTAATGCCAATATCCATGTAGGTAAATAAAAATTAGTTTGAAAATATTTATTATATATAAAAGTATTTAATATTGAAGTAAACATTATACATACAAGTGAGATTGTAAGTATTAAACATACTGTTTATAAATGTATATTACGACATGATACATTGCACATCAGAATAAATGTATATTACGACATATAAAGAGCTATAGTTATTAATCTTTAAGAAAATTTCTAAAATAAATTGATTATATTTGATATAAATATCATATCTACACTAATATATCATATCGATATAGATATTATACCAATTTTAAAGAATCGGCGCAGTATAAATGTGTTAAAAACAACAAAGATTCTCCTCGTGTTATATGCACCAAATTGTTTTGTCTGATTGATGATTTTTTAACATAAAAAACACGTTTCTCATTATATGTGGGAAAAAAAACATTGTGGTGTCAAATTGATAGTGTCAAATGCACATGAAAGAATTAAAACGTGGCATTTTATTAATAGCTCAATGTTTCACCAATTTATTTATTTGTTACTTTTTTAATTTCAAATATGAAATATTATAAATGGAAAATTTGAATAATAAATGATAAAATAAATATCAATCTTACCTCAATAAAACGTAAGATAAGACAAGATAAAATAATATTGTTTTTAAAAAGTTTTATGTTATACTCGTTTGTTTTGAGTAAGTTCATTGCTTATTTGGTTACTCGATTATAATAATTATATAATAAAATTTCTTATTATTATTTTGACGGGGAAATTGTATTCTTCGAAGTTTGAGTTATTTATCTCTACCCACCCCCCACAAAGAAAGTTAAAAAAAAATAAATTGAAGTGTAAATCTCAATGTGAATCAATCAAGCAAAATAATATGATAGGTTGTGGAGTAGACTATAGTAGTGAGAAACGAACTTAGTTGTAAAAATTAATCCCAAACTTATTAGAAAATTGAATAGGTAAAACCTACAGAGTAAAAGCACTTTTAACGTTTAATTTTCAAAGTTTAAGATGACAAGATTAACATAGTTGAATGTCGTGGAAAAACATCTCAACCTAACATTTGTCACTTTGCCAAAAATTTACATTTGAAAATGATTTATATATAAAAATATTAAAAGGAGTATATTTAAATCTGAATGCATATCTAAATACTTAAAATGTTGATTTTATATCTGAATTCTAAATGATATGTTTTTTAATATAAAAATAAAAATTAGCAGTGATTTTGCTTAAAGTCGTCAAAATAAATCACCACGTCAGTAGCGATTTTACCGTTTTGATTAGAAAGTGTTCTAATATTACCCTTTTAAAATTTTTGTCAACTTTTTTTGCCCTTTAGGCTCCGAACTCGATGGTTTGTAGTGGTGGATTGATAGTTGGTGCTACTGGCTAGTAATACTGATGATGATTTGTGATGGTGGAGGTGGTTAGTGTTGTAATGATCATGATTGACGCAAAAATGGTGATTGTGATGGTAATTACGATTGACTGCAATAGTGGTAATGATTGATAGTGATGATAAATATTACGTGACGAGTTAATCACTAGAGTATTATTCTTATCCATCCTACCGAATGAGCCTTTTTAGTTTTGTGGCTTGTTGAGTAAGGTATCATAAATTATAAGTCAATTCGAATAGTGAATAATTCAATTTCGTGACGATTAATAACCAAACCAAATGAAAGCTACTTTTAGAGGAAATTTTCAAAGCACGAGAGAAGATTAGTTTTAGGTCAAATATTCAAAATCATATTGTAACTAAACAAATATTATTAATTGTTCAATGAAGCCGGCACAAAGACATTGGTAAAAATATTACCTGACTTTCAACATTTTTCAGTTAAAAAAACAGTAGTTGTCATCAGCATAACATTGAAATATATGCTTA